TGTACCCTGGCTCAACATGTTTATGACCCTAGAATCTGATACACTGCTAATTATAATTTGGCAAACCATCTATTCTGGCTATGTGACTAGATAGTCCCAGAGAATAGTGCTAAAATTGGGAAGGCTAGATTAGTATCAACAAAACTTCATAATGAATTTTGTGTTTGCATTGCTTGCTTATATAATTCTTTGTTAGACTTTGTGTGAAATTTTTAGCATTTTTAAAAAGACAGTAATAATGAATTAATCATTGCTTTAAAGTGTGGGACAATGCTTAGTTGCAAAGCTAAAAATCTACTAGTATAGTTATGTTATACATGCTTTCATCAATTGTTGTTATGTGCCATGGAGGTGGTTACGACTCACAGCAACCCTGCATAGGGTTTTCAAGGCTGTAAACCTTTACGGGAACAGAAAGTCACATCTTTCTCCCACAGAACAGCTGGTAGTTTCAAACTGCTGACCTTGCGGTTCACAGCCCAATTTGTAACCGCTACGTTACCAGAGATCATCAATCATGACTTATTTGATTTAAATAGAAATCAACATAGCTCACTTCATTTTTATTCACTAATCTGTTTTGTCAGCTGATTTGTAAGGAGATACATCAAATAACATAATGTACACTAAGTCTAAATTTAAAATGTTATATGTAATGCTCCTTATCTCAAGCTGTTCATCTTAAAATCTGCTTGTTTTAGTACTGAGTGAATGGCAGCTCCTTTTCATGTTTCTTTCCTATTTATTATGCAGATAATTATAACCTCTGAATAGGAACATAAAGTACAAGAACACAGTTTGATTATTTTCTGGGAATTATACTGATACAAATGTGTAAACTTAATTGGATTTTTCTATTACATAAAACATGACATACATTTTAATGACTTTCTTATCTCAGTGAGACATTTATTGGTGATCAACAAGTTAAACAAGATACATGCTCTCTATTTCTTCTCTTTTTGATCCTGGATTAAGGGAGCAATTGTGAGTAAGAACATTTTCACATTTCCCCAAGACTCTCTGCCTGGGAGAACCTGATTTATTGGTAAACCATAATTATTAAAACAGCAATTAGCACTATTACTCTTAGAAATATGTGTTCTGTATAAGGTCTGTTTAACTGCTAAGCAGTTAAAAAAAATTCCAGCCCTTGATGAGTCTGTGTACAAGTGGCACATGAGATGCCCTATTAGAAATACTGCATCCTATTACATTTACCTAATATCAGGGTATTCCTTCTTACCAATGTTGAGTCTTTGCTAACACATAATCATGGCTCATATTTGTCTCTGTCTTTACCTAAAGTAACTTCTGCTGTTTTAGCCCATACAGATGTATGATACAATACTGATGCAGAGTGTTGATTAAATACCCATTCCAGAGTTTGCCATAAAACACACATGAGCTTTTTTCTATTTGTGTTTGCTATTAAAACTAAAAAAAAAAAAAAAAAAATCCTGATATTAACACAGGATACATTGTTAGCCTCTGAATAGTTAATCATTTGTGTCAGGTGAAAAGGCTATTTGGACAAATCACAGTTCATTCTAAAGAAAATGCATCTAGCCTGAGACGCAGGAAGCTAGAACATGGATCAAAGATAAGTGTAGCAATGTTGTGGAACAATTTTCTTCAAGAATGCTCTTGATACTATAAGTATGGGCCTATTGATTCTCTTAAATGCATGCCTATATTAACCAGTCCATTATCATTAGTATTATGATTAAACATCTACTGCATATATATGCTTTGGTATCATGTATTATGAGATTTGATTTGCATTGTGACTCAGAGTTCAGTTACAGTGTATCTGAAGAAGGTGTGGTTATGGGATTTGTAAATCTTAAATTATTTCAAAAATACTTTTCAGCTGATATTTCACAGTAAAGTTTGGTTCTGTGCCATCTCATATTAAGGTGACAAAACAAAACAAAACAAAACAAAAACCCCCAAACACAATTTTATCCATCCCACTCATAATATTCTCAGAGTCACAAAGCAACTAAAATCATGTAAAGTGTGGCTAATTATTCTTGTGCACAAAGATTTCGAGGTTTCATATCCATTAAAAAAAAACAAACAAACAATGACTTTCAAAAAACAGATGCTAAATAAATGAGATCATTGATAAATCACACTAATTAAAACAGAGTAATTATCCATAGTAATCAATCTATTGTAGTTCAGTGAATTATTTATTACCGTCCTTCTAGGGATAATCTTTGTAACTCCTACCACACATCCTTGTCCTTGGTGGGTCAGGGTAAGGGAAGGTGGAGTGGGGGGATGTTGTTGTTAAGTGCTTTTGAGTTGATCACTACCCATGGTGACCCTGTATAGTGTTTCCAAGGAGCACCTGGTAAGCTTGAACCACTGACCTTGCAGTTCAAATGACTTTGCAGTCTGAAGCATTAGCCCATAGAACCTCACCAGGACTCTGGAAGAAGATGAGGATTATATTATTCCGTTGCAAATGAATGTTAACATTGTTAATTATGATTGTAAAACCCTAGAAATCTAACAAGATAATTTTTGCCATCCTGCTGTGTATAAAAGGATCATCTCAGCAGCAGAGGGATGTTTCACAATCAAAAATGAAGAGCTAGGAGTGGTGTGCATGTTTTGGATCTTGAGATCCCTGCATGTTGAACCTCCTTAATCCAAGGAACAGAAAGCTGTATAATAGTGGAGCAACAGAAGAGTGACTGAGAAGTAAAAGCAGCAGACCAAAGATCAGAGCATGACACAGAGCAGTAGACTTCCTGCCCACAATGAATAAATCTGAGTGCCTAAAGGTGTAAGGTTTGCTTGTGGATTGGGGGGCCTCCATATCCTTAATTGGGGGAACTAGGTTTGCTGATCAATGAAGCAAGAGCAGAGCACCTTCTGGCTCAGGATTATAGTTGAGTGGAGTGTCCTTCGGGCATTTATCAGCCATGCTAAGAGTCTTGTGCCATTTCCCAAGCATGACAGATGCCAGAGCAAGAGACCAATGGTCAGAGAAAGGTCAGTCTGTGGTCATGGCAGTAAAAGGTTGTCCTGACCAAAGAACTGTATTTCTAATTCTGAATTAAATCCTGTTAAGTTTCCTAATAAACCACATAATTGTGAGTATTGTCTGTGAGTTCTGTGTAGTGATTACAATGAATTATTATACCTAGATGAAAAGAAGTAGATAGTGCTATGGGTGGGACAGTTGGTGTCAGAATTGGTAAGCAAGGTTGGATGTAGAGGCATGTCTGACCTCAGCTTCATGGAACTCAGCCTTGGCCTGATGTTGATTTTTATTCTCCTTTCCCCTTGTGAAGTTGGAGGCAGTCTGATACTGCCCTCACTGACCTTTTCTATACCTGTAATCATAATTTTTTTGTAGTCTTTGTTTGATTTTACCCAAATTATAACATTGTCCATCCAAAATAAATAAAATTTTCCCACTCTCAACTTACTGTCTAAATTCCTAGCAAACAAATGATAATTGTAAACATTATGCCTGGAACTTAGGAATTCATCCAGCTCTTCTATTAATAAGATGACTCATAATCTGTTAATAAGTTTTTTCTCTTATTTACTTATTTATTTATTATTAGTCAAACTCCTCCACTTCTTATGTTAGATATTGCCCCCATTCATACTAGCAGTTTTTGTTACTATCATATCTAGAGCAAATAACTAATATTTCCCACCACAGTTTACATGTTTTTGAAGTAACAAAAACACACTTTTCCACTTTATTTGCCAAAGCATTGATGATTCACTCTGCATTCTTATTTACTAATTTTATCAATGAATTTTTAATGTAATGTAGTGGTTACGAATTGGGCTGTGAACCACAAGGTCAGCAGTTTGAAACTACCAGCTGTTCCTCAGGAGAAAGATGAGGCTTTCTGCTCCTGTAAAGATTTATAGCCTCAGAAACCCTGTACAGGGTTGCTATGAGTCAGATCCAACTCCACAGCACATAACCACCACCACCACCATTATATGTCAAGCATTTTTCCAATTGTTGTTGTTATTGTTGTTAAGTGCTGTGGAATAAGTTCTGACCCAGCAACCCTGTATAGGTTTTTCAAGGAGTGGCTGGTGGGTTGGGTTTGAACCACCACAACCTTAAGGTTCCAATTGACCTTTTGGTCCAGTGCTTTATCTTACAGTACCACACCAGGACTAAGAATATTCTCATAAATTTCCTATTTGTAGGCACTTCCTGAATATAGACAAAACCCTTGTTCCAGTATTGTACTCATTAAGTATAACTGTAAGTATAATTAGCATTATTTGCAATAGCTATGGACTTGGACATTGAATATAGATTAGCATGGTCCTTTTTATATCAGCTGCCTATTTTGTGGTTTCTGTACTAGTATTTTACTTCTCTGTTATTCAATAGACTTTCTGAAAGATGTATATATTTCACAGAGTTGTATTAAAAATTTAGTAACATGATACATAGCAAACATTTCAACAGTATTTGTTACATTATAAATGCCCAATACAGGATTGTTTGAGAATGCTACAATAAAACATTTGACAACAATGGATTTAGATAATTGGCATTAATTTTTTTGACAAGAGAAAATGTAATGCCTTTATATAATTAGAGGAACGTTGTGTCTTTATTTTGTACTTACTATCTTTTGTGAATTAAGCACCATATAAATATCATTAAACTTTTATAATGATTCATATTAAGATATTTTATTGTAATAAAGTCTTGACTAAAATTTAAGAAATCAAGAATAAAGACACACAAAAAAGCAGTAATTACTGAAAATTCTGTAAAATAAAATTTTATTTTACAGGACATATGTAAGTAATTAAAATAAAAGAGTAAGTGGCACTCTTCCTAAAACAAAAACAAAAAAGCAACCAACCTCTGAATGTATTAGTTACTACTTTTTTATTATAGTTTTATAACATAAAAATTGCAACTTCTAAGAAAAACATTTAGGATATTGGGATTACTACTATGTCTACTAATATTTTTTCTTTATGTTTAGGAATACACAATAGATATAATATTTGCCCAAACCTGGTTTGATAGTCGTTTAAAATTCAATAGTACCATGAAAGTACTTATGCTTAACAGCAATATGGTTGGGAAAATTTGGATTCCTGACACTTTCTTCAGAAATTCAAGAAAATCAGATGCTCACTGGATAACAACCCCTAATCGATTGCTTCGAATTTGGAATGATGGACGTGTTCTATATACACTGAGGTAATACTGTTTTAAAAAAAGGTGGGGGAGCATGGTTTATTCGAATTATTTTCCACACTAAATGCATAGATTTTAAGTATAAATATTAATACCTAGCATTTAATATTGTAAAAAATTTTGAAAACATTTTTGAATTAGAGTTAACATTATGTGAAACTATCTAAAAACAGAGAAAAAAATCCCTTGATTTTTCCTCTGTGTAAAGTAGAAAATGGTATGAACAGATTGACCAAGATATTCTCTAGAGCCCATCCAGCATGCTGTTGTTATTAAGTGCTGTCTAGTCATTTCTGACCCATAACATTTTTTGAGGAGCAGCTGATAAGCTTGAACTTGCGAATCAAACTGACTTTGCAGTCCAGTGCATATTCTGATTTTCAGTGGTGTAGTTAAACATCCCAAAGAAAGAATCAAAGAAGCTTGATGTATAAGATTCAGATTTATTTTATTAATATGGCCATATTTGATTATTAAGATATGATCTCACTTAATAGAAATATGTCTATGATAAATTAATTTAAAAGAGCCACTTTGTTAAATATTGTATTCTCTGTACTCTATATATCTGTGTGTGTCCGTGTGTGTGTGTGTTTGCAAAGATCTTAAAATATGAATTTTCACCTGTATATAGAGATCATACTGAAATATATACAGAGACAACTTGGGAGAGAACTGTCAAACTGGTATATTCATTTATGAATACCATTTCCATTTAAGACTTAGACTTCAGCTTTAGTATTTTCAAATGCCTAGTAGTTCATTTTTTTTGGTTTAAAAATTAGTCAAAATATTTTTAATGTTTAAGATTACTTCACTTAAGAAATGTTTTTTCCCCCCACTGGATAGATTGACAATTAATGCAGAATGTTATCTTCAGCTTCATAACTTTCCTATGGATGAGCATTCCTGCCCATTGGAATTCTCAAGCTGTAAGTGATTGTATCCCTGATAACTAGAAAAACAAAAACAAAACAAAGCATTGCAATCAAGTAAATGTCAACTTATAACTATCTTGTATCTCTCATTGTGAGAGAAAGATGAGGTTTTCTGCTCCCAATAAGATTTATAGCTTCTGAAACCTATACAGTCTCTGTTAATTAAAACTGACTTGACTTCACTTAACAATACCTATGTTGTTGTTGCTAAGTGCCGTCGAGTTGATTCTGACCCTGTATAGGGTTTTTGAAGAGCTACTGGTAAGCTTGAAACTCTGATCTTATGGTTCAAAGTGACTATGCAGTCCAGGACATTAACCCACGGCACTACATCAGGACAGAGTCGAGAGCCCTGGTGGTGCCGTGGGTTATGAGTTAGGCTGCTAACCACAAGGTAAGAAGTTCAAGTATACCAGCTTTTCTCTGTCAGAAAGATGAGGCTGGCTGCTTCAGTAAAAATTTGTAGTTTAGGAAACTACATAGGGTTGCTATGAGTCTGAACCAATTTTTTTTTATTTGTTTACTTTTTGGTTATAGGACAGAAAAGAACTGCCCCACTGGGTTTCCAAGTCTGTAAGTCTTTTAGGAAACAGACTGCCACTTCTTTTTCCTTAGTGGCTGGTGGTTTTCAACTGCATGGTGTGGCACTCTAGGATAAGCACTGGACTGCTAACTGCAGGGTCTGCATTTCAAACCCACCAGCCACTCCTTTGATATACAGGGTTACTATGAGTTGGAACTGACTCAATGGCATTTTACATTACAAAAATTTATTATATGTATTTATAAGTATTATCCTGTGTCTTTACTACTAAATTCTCAGTTATTTTTGCTTGCCCTTTATAATGATTTTCTTGGCTTTTCTTATTGATTTTTGCCTCATTATAAAATTATTTTAGTTTGGGTGATAGTAGCAAAAACCAGGTAGGGAACTCTCTGTGGTGAAGGGATGGGGATCTCATGAAGGCAGCACTCATAAAACAACTCCCAAGCTCTGGATCTACCATAAGATCCAGGACATCAGTTTCCCTCACTCACAAGTGAAAAAAATCACAATACTAAGTAAAATACTGATCTCTAGGTTATCTGGAGACAGGACTCCCTCTGTGGCCACCCTGACCTGGCAAAGTTTACAGGGCAGGGCTGCAGCCAGTCCGGCTCAAAAACCGGTACTAAAAGCAGGGCAGAGACATTTGCAAAAAAAAAAAAAAAAAAAAAAAAGAGAGAGAGAGATGCGGGAGACTACACATTTCCCCTCTTTTTTTACCTGTCCTGCCTTCTTTGCTCAGCCGGAACAACATCATGTGGGACAGTTTTCCCACTGTACAAACAGAGGGAGCCTGGTGGCAACTTATGACGTCAACGACAGATACACAGCCCTAAAATTTTCTACTGTGGAACCCTTGGTGGCTGTGGAGTCAATTCTGACTTCAGGTGACCCCTGTGCAGGATTTCTGGGGCTATGGGTCTTTGAGGGAGTGGAGTACCTCACCTTTCTCCCACAGTGTGGCTGGTGGTTTTGAGCTGCTGATCTTGTGGTTCGTGGCCCCATTCATGGCCATTGTGCTGCCTGAGCTCCATGCAGAGGACCCATATAAATAAATATGTAAAACCCCAACATAAAAGGACTCAACCATCTCAAAAATTGTGCTGTTCACACACAGATACCTAACTGACCTTCAGAGACAAAAATAGTGGACAATTTTTCCCCTATTAACTTCTCAATATATAACTGTGCACCCCTACTGAAGTGACTAGAGGAGGGGCCTGAGCAAGTGGACACCCTCACCCACTGCTGGAGGCTTCTACCTTGCACACACACTGCCTGTGTAGCTCGAGACAGTCGACCACAGCTTCATTTCTGTTCCAAAGTGGTGGTTTTTGTCTCTGCATTCATATTATTTCTGATTTTGGTACTTTTGATCACACATCTTTCCTGGAGGTGGTAGCTCTTTCTTCCTACATTACCCAAGAAGAGAAGGCAATCATGGCCATATAGCCAAGCTATAAGCATGCCTCATAATATTCCACCACTGAGACAAGAGCCAACAACACCTGCTAAGCATTACATGTGATATGGGAAGCCTATTTCCTGATCATATTCACCAGGAGATACCCAATAAGCTTAATAACAAACAACAAATATCCAAGCAAGCTTTTTAAAAAAACAATACACATAATTATCAGAAATGATGAATAAAAAACAAAAAATGATACCAAAATATGTCCAAACCCAGAAGAGAGTAGGTGAGCCAAATGAGTTGGAGACAAACAAAGGCTTTCTACAGGAGGAAGAACAGGTATTGGATATACCTGAGAAAGAATTCAGAAGAATAATATGGAAACAAATTCAAATTCTTCAATAAGGGGTGGAGGAAAACAAGAAGTCAGGAAAGTACTACAGGAGCAATCAAATAAGATTGATACAGCATTGGAAACAACTCAAAATCTTCAAAATGAGGTCCAGATGAATAATAATAAGATATCAGAAATGGACAATACACTGAAAGAGGAAAGGAACAGAATAGATGAGATGAAGCCAGAACTAGCAAGCTGAAAGACAAATGTCTCAATATTTCTAAGATAGAAGAGCAAGCAGAAAAATGGATAAAAAAATCTGAAAAGAGTCTTAAGATCCATGCTGGATAACATGAAGAGGAATAATGTAAGAATTATTGGCATTCTGGAACAGGAAGAATCAGAGAAGTCCACAGAGGAGATAATTGAAGAGCTTCTGGAAGAAAATTTCCCTAACATCTTGAAAGATGAGAAGATAAACATTCAAGAAGCAGAACATACTCCAGGAAGTATAGACCCCAGAAGAAAGTCACCAAGACATATAATAATCAAGCTCTCCAAAATCAAAGATAAGGAAAAAAATACTAAAAGTGGCCAGGGAGAAAAGAAATGTCACTTATAAAGGCAAACAAATCTGATTAAGCTCTGACTGTTTAGAACAAACCATGCAGGCAAGAAGGCAATAGGGAGACATATACAAAGTCCTACAAGAAAAAAATTGTCAACCAAGAATCGTCTATTCAGCAAAATTATCAATCAAATACAATGGTGTGATCAAGACATTCCACAATAAACAGACTCTGAGAGATTTTATCAAAACCAACCTAGCACTTCAAAACATCCTAAAGGGATTTCTGAGGACTGAAAACCAACAAGAACAGACAACAAGCAGAGATTGACAGGCGTGGTAACACCACCCTGAACTCAGTCAACAGATAGCAGAGTCCAGAACAGAACAAGACTACAATAACAAACTCAAAGGAGCTGGGAGGTCAACCGAAGATAAAAATTATATCAACGTCAAAGAAGGGACAAACGTAGCAACAGAGACTCAAGTGGTGAGGATGTCAGGTAAATTACAGGATACAATGGATTCTCTTAAATGGAGAGAAAAGTTAGTAGACTATAAGGTAACCCAAAAGAAAGTTAATACTTCACAAATTACCATGAAAATGAACTCCCAAGCAGAACAAGCAAACATGAAAACTAAGAAGAAACCGACAAGAAATAGCACAAAAAACACAAACTCAACACAAGCAGAAGTCATGCAGAACAAAAGAACCAGCAGCACTACCAAACTGTAACAATGGTAGCAATTAATTCATACCTATTGATAATTACATTGAATGTCAATGGATTGTATAAGCAGTGAAGACACAGATAGTGGTAAAATGGATAAGAAAACAGGATCCTGCAATATGCTGCCTGCAAGAGACACGCCTTACACACAAAGACAAAAACAGGCTAAAAGTTAAAGGATGGAAAAAAATTTACAAACTGATCTCCAACAAAGTAAACTTTAAGATAAGAACCAGCATAAGAGACAAAGAAGGACACTATCTCATGATCAAATGGTCAATTGAGCAAGACAACATAGCCATAATAAATATCTATACTCCCAATGAAAGAGCACCAAGATACATGAACCAAACCTTTCTAGAATTGAAGAAAGAAATAGATAAATGTACAATTATAGTGGGAGATTTTAACACGCCACTCTTGAAAATGGACAGAGCAACCAGAAAGAAACTCGATAAAGTTACAGAGGAACTAAACATCACAATCAACCAACTTGATCTCATAGATGTATACAGAGCTCTGAATCCAACAACAGCACAAGATACATTCTTCTCCAGTGTGCATGGAACCTTTTCCTGAATTGACAACATGTTAGGTCACAAAGCAAGCCTCCATAAATTTACAAACATCAGAATTCTACAGAGCATCGTCTCAGACCAAAACGCTATACAATTAGAAATGAACAATAAGAAGACCAAGGAAATAAAGTCGAATACATGGAAACTGAACAACACCCTGGGAAAAGAAGAAATTAAAAGTGAATTCACAAAGTTCCTAGAAAGAAAGTACAACATACCAAAATCTTTAGGACACGGTGAAAGCAGTCTTGAGAGGACAATTTATTGCAATAAACACACACATCCAAAAAGAGGAAAGAACCAAAATTAACACATTAACACAGCATCTTCAACAATTAGAAACAGACCAGCAGAGGTAACCTAAAATCACCAAAAGAAAGGAAATAATAAAGATAAGAGTAGAAATAAATGAGATGGAAAACTGAAAAACTATAGAAAGAATGAACAGGACAAAAAGCTGGTTCTTTGAAAGGATTAATAAAATTGACAAACCATTGGCAAAACTAACTAAAAAAAGGAGAGAGAGGACACAAATAAATTGCATTAGAAACCACATGGGTGATATCAAAAGGTGATTTCAAAAACCAAATGAAATCAAAAGGATAATAATAGAATACTATGAAGAGTTGTACTCCAACAAATTCAACAACTTAGAAGAGATGTATATATTTCTAGAAAACATGACTTACCTAAACTTACTCAGAATGAAGTAGAAAATTTGAACAAACACATAACAAAAGAAGAAATTGATAAGATCATCAAAAAAAAAAAACTCCCAATCAACAAAACCCAGGCCCAGATGGCTTCACGGGTGAGTTC